TTGCAACAATAAGCTCCTGTTTGTCCAAACTCTACCTCATATCTAAGACCTACCTCTACCTAACATCTGGCCAAACCTTGCGTATTCTTGACATGGCAGAAATGTAAGATTCTAAACACTCAGCTAAAGTTTAGGGACCAAGAAAGCTCTTTATTGCATGTGGTCAAAACCTCACCTAATGCTCAAACTGTTCTGACCCCAAGGGGAAGCAAAGAACAAACTTTTATACAGAAATTGAGCATGGAGGTTTAAACAAAGTTCATTGTGGTTTACAGCTGAGATTTCTTCATGTTTGGTAGTTGTTATTATTTCTGACTTCTTATGGGTGTCCAGGCCCAGGCCAGGTGCAGAAGGAGTGGTAACCAAGCTGGGTCAGCTTGTACTAGAACATAAAGCTTAACAAAATATATTATTGCCAAAATTATTAAAGCGTAACATTTCTTAAAATGGCTGTCAGAACAACAGGACTTCCCCAATGCTACCGTATAAGCTGCTACTACACTCTCAGCCTGGTTGGTCTGCAAAGAAAGAAGTAGAGGCACTAAGATTTACACATTTTTACTAACATGTTCCATTCTAAAACATGAAACTGTCAAAACACAGAAAAGTTGAAAAGCATACCAACTCCCACCATTCTGTTAAAGTCACATTTAATGTCCTTTGTTTTGTGACTCAGTCATTAAATATTTATTTATTTTTAGCCCTCCTGTGCCAGGCATGGGGCTGGATCCTGGTTGGGAGGAGCAGACACCCGTGGAATTCACAGCATTTCCTTACAAATGTTTTTCTTTCATTGCCATTTCAGGGAACATTTACAAGTCATGTCAGCTTTTCATTCAATTAGTCATACACATTTAGTTTTATAATGTTGTTGTTGTTAGGCATTGTGGAGTCAAAAGCAACTCATATTTAACCCTCTACCAGGATTTCAGAGGCAGTAAATCGTATGGGAGGAGATTGCCCATCCTTCTCCTGTAGAGCAGCTGGTGGATTTGAACTGTGCTGCTTTTTTCTTTAATGGAAAGAATTAGAAATAAGAAGGAAGATGGCAAAATAATCCCAGTGCAATCAAAGCTGAAATGTCCATGGTGTATAAAACTATTAAACGAGTCCAAGAAGTGAGTTTTCTTTTGTTATTGTTATGTGTCATCGAGTCACTTGCGACTCATAGCGGCCTTATGTACATTAGCTCTGCTCCATCCTGAGCCAATCTCATTGGCTCTGACAGACCTAATTCCATTACTCCAGTCACTGAGTCAATCCGCTTCATCTTGGGTCTTCTTCTCCTGTGCTGTCTATCCACCCTTCCAAGCATGCTTTCTCCAAGGACTGGTCTCTTCTGGCCATATGCCCAAATTATGTGAGGCAGAGCTTCAAAATCCTTGCTCTCTTTACAATTATTAAAAAATAGAATCATTAGACAGTGTGCAGCTCATTACCACTAGGCCACCAGAGGTCCCATTATAGCACGAATTGTAATTAATTAGTTTAATTCATTAATTACAATGTAAATCAATCCCTTATTGTAGATTGCCTTTGTTGTTGTTGTTGTTGTTGTTATGTGCCATCGAGTCGTTTGCGACTCATAAGCGACCCTATGTACAACAGCCCTAAACCGTGCTCTATCCTGTGCCAATCTCATAGATTGCCTTTACCTCACCAAATTCAGTCTTTTTCTCGATATTGGTGGTGCATGAGAAATGTTTCAAACTTTAAGATTGCAGGCACAGTTTAACTATTCCTTAGCACTAAAAGATTTGGAAAAGAGGGAGTCTAGAGTCAGAACAGAAGTATTTGAATCAGCCATACAAGGCTCATGTGTGAAGCACTAGTTTATTTTCACCTGTGTGCACGTGGGCTGAGCTTTCAAGTTAGAAGTCCTCAGCTCTTGCTGTTAGTCGGGGGTTCTGTAACGGAGCGAGTCCCCAAAAAGATCATCGAGCCAATTAGCTGAATTAACAAAGTTTATTTCGAGTTCCAACCCGGGCTCCCGTGTGCTGACACAGCAGCATCCAGCCAAGAGCCCCGAATTGATGCCTGCCCCTCCTTTTATACCTCTGCTACGAATGTCTATCTGTGTTTCATTGATTATGCAAAGGCATTTGACTGTGTGGATCATAACAAACTGTGGCTGACTCTGAGAAGAATGGGAATCCCAGAACATTCAATCGTGCTAATGCGAAACCTATACTTGGACCAAGAGGCAGTCGTCAGAACAGAGCAGGGCAACAATGAATGGTTCAAAATTGGGAAGGGTGTACGCCAGGGATGTGTCCTATCTCCATACCTTTTCAACCTGTATGCAGAGCAGATTATCCGAGAGGCTGGGCTCTATGAGGAGAAGCATGGAGTTAGGACTGGTGGATGATCTATCAACAATCTGCGTTATGCAGATGACACAACCCTGCTCGCTGAAACTGAGGAGGACCTCATGCACTTACTGCAGAGGGTCAAGGACTGCAGCCTTCAATATGGACTGAGGCTCAATGTCAAGAAGTCAAAAATTCTCACCACTGGACCAATCGGTAGCATCAGGATGGATGGCGAAGAGATTGAGATTGTTCACAGCTTCAGTTTGCTCCATGGTCAACACTCTTGACACCAGTAGCCAGGAAATCAAAAAACGTATTGCGATGGGAAAGTCTGCGGTTAGGGACCTCTCTAAAGTACTCAAGAGCAGCAGCGGTGTCTCTCTGGAGACTAAGGTGCGTCTGATACAGGCCATGGTCTTTGCAATCACTTGTTATGCATCAGAGAGTTGGACAGTGACTAGGGAGGATAGAAGGAGAATTGATGCCTTTGAGCTGTGATGCTGGAGAAGAGTTTTGAATGTACCATGGCCTGCCAAGAAAACAAACAGATTCATCCTGGAGAGGGTTAAACCAGGCTGCTCCTTTGAGGCAAGGATTCTGGGGCTTCGTCTGACATACTTTGGATGTGTTGTAAGGAGAGACAGGTCTTTAGAGAGGGACATCATGCTGGGTAGAGTAGAGGGACAGTGCAGGAGGGGAAGACCCTCTATGAGGTGGATTGATTCAGTGACTGGGGTAATTGGGATGGGTGTGTCAGAGGCAATGAGATTGGCACAGGATAGAGCACAGTTTAGGGCTGTTGTACATAGGGTCACTATGAGTCGCAAAGGACTCGATGGCACATAACAACAACAACTCCCCTGCCCAACCATACACGCCATGATTGGCCATCCACAGTAGTTTGGGTATTTGTCCACCTTCAGTTGGCTAGCCATAGCTCAGGGTAACAGTTTGGAAACCTATTTGAATCTTATTGGTTACTTCAGATGCAGAAATGTGGAAAAATCCCTTGTGCCCTTACAAAGAAGAATTCCACTTTATGGCAGTTGATCAATCAGGGTGGAATTTACCACAGGTGAGGGTTGTTTGTTTGTTTAAAAACCACTCAAGGGGGTGGGGTGGGGTTAACCGTACTTTACCAGAAACTGAGTTTCTGATAACTGGTCCTTTCAGGTTCTAGACAGAGATTGTTGGTGGGTGTAGCAGATCACATGAAGAGGTCTTGGTTGGGGGTTTTCTGTTGGTACCTTTTCCTTATTTTGCAGGTGTGGTCTTAGGTCAGCTCATTTTCTGTGGTATTTACCTGGAACGTCCTAGTTTTTGCCAATTCCGCTTTTCACTAGAGTTGAGCTGGCTGGAACTAGGGGAAAGGTTTTATCTGAGAAGCGGAAATTCTAGCGATAATGAAGCCATTTTATTTTACCTATCAGGAACAATCAGCCATAAAAGATCAGGAGAGCACCTCTTGCCTGTGGGAAACGCTCAGGAGCCGGCAATGAAGCCGTTTTCTGTTACATATTGGGAACAATTGGCCATAAAAGATCAGGAGAGCACCCCTTGCCTGTGGGAAATGCTCAGGAGATAGAGAAAAGAAAGGAGGATGAGTGGAGATAGCAAACACACGGAGGAAGTAGGAAGAATGCTGTAACGTGGTGGGGCTTACACTCAAATCCAGGAAACAAACTGTTTAAATTGTTGAAAAGAAAGCCAATTTGGTATAAACTTCCACCCAAATCACAATGAAAAATTTGGTTCTTTTTTAAAAAAATTCATTAAAAGTTAATTTTTTTAATTTTTTTTTAAATTTTATTATTTTTGTGTGAGTGTACCGTCAAATCAGATCTGACTGATACAGGAGGAGATTGTCCCTCCTTCCCCGGCAGAGCATCTGGTGGATTCAAACCGTGCGCCTCTGGGATTGTAGTTGCAGCTCCTTACCACTAGGCCACCAGAGCTCCCCCAAAAAGTTAATTTTTTTTATAAAAAAGAAAATTAGTTCTCTGTTCAATAAAACTGTTACAGATATGTTGTTTGCCTTTTTAGCTGAATATAACATTTTTAAAATGCCAAGTAAAAACTTTTTTAGACAATCCAGTTTATCTCCTTCCTGACTTCTAGACGTGTCTCCATTTTCATAAGTCTTTCTTCCTCACTTCAAAATCAGATTTACTATCAGAATTCCTCAGTCCTTTCTTCTATCATTTTCCAGATTCCTTCTTGCATTTAAATCATGATTCTATCTGGAACTCTATTTTGGAATGACAATATACTCCGAATATTTCTTTTCTGATTTTAGTTCTTTGAGCAGTGATGTAGCATCCTATGAGTTCTAGAACAATTTGGATGTACAAGATCCTTGAGGGCATGGATGCCCCTGGCTTATCAATCCCTTGCTGGTTTTGACCTAGGGCCCCCAGGCCATATTCTGCTCATGGACACTTTGGTCCAGACTGCAGGCAAGCCCAGTCAGATGCCTCTGACCTTGGACAAGGAGGCTCCAGTTGGTTGGTCCCCCAGTGGCCTGGGTGCCCATTTGACTCAGACACAGCTGGAGCACTTCCTCTGTAAATTCAGCCCTGGCTTCCATCCATCCTTCCCTCCCATCCCTTCTGTGTCCAACCCTGGAAGCTCTCCTCTGAGAAAATTTGCATCATGCAGGAGGACTCTTGGGGACTGCTCCACCGAGCCATGGTCACCTCAGCTGCCCCACTGTTGCTCCTGGCCATGACTCTTCCCTTGCTGGGTTCACCATCGGTCCCCGCATCACAGCCTGTAAGTGAGGAGGGTAAGAACCCAGGGAGAAGGGCTGCTGAGGAGATGAAGCAATGAGGCAAGGACGGGCTGGGTCACACGCATGTGAGGGGAGAGGACAGATGGAGAGGGAGAGGGCTGAGGGAAAGAGACTATTTGTTACAGGATCTCCAAGCTTTCCATCTTACTTCCCAGGATCTCTTTATTTACTTCCTTGAGGGTGCGATGTGCAAAGGATCTTATAATCAAACCTGCAATTTGAAAATAAAAACTTAAAAAAAAAATTAATCTTTCTGGATTTGGAACCACTGGCCTAGAAGACAGAAGAAAATCTGAGGAAAGGTAGCAGAGTCTAGGTTAAGACTGTGATTGGTCCTGGAGTGGAGGTGGTGGATCACCTCTATCTATGTATATCTCTGTCTCTGTGTCATCTCTTTATTCATAGACATGTGTATACCAGTTATTGCCAATGCAGATTCATAGTGATGCCGTGTGTGTCAGAGAAGAACTGTGCTCCATAGGATTTTCAGTGGTTTATTTTTTGGGGGAAATAGATTACCAGGCCTTTCTTCCAAGGTGTCTCTGGGCAAGCACAAATCATTTCATAGTGTTTAATCCATTTGTACCCCCCAGGGACTCCTCTCTACATCTATTTCCAAAACTATGCAGCAGTGGGCTCAAGTGTATCAAAGATGTTGAGGATGGCCCAGGATGGACAGGATACAGATCTGTGGCTCATAGAGTCGCTGTGAGTCATACTCGACTCGACAGCACCTAACAACAGCATATCGACAGAGAGAGAGACGGATACCTGCAATTCTGAGGAGGAGAGGGTTGATAAGGAGCCAGAGATGAAAGGAAGATACTGCCTACAGGTCACCTTCTTGGAAAATCTCATGAAGGGAGTGGAAATCAGCGGTCTGTGGGTGCAGCTAGCTCTGCCCAGCCTTCTGAGCTAGAAGCCCAGCCATTTCAGTTAGCCTAGAGTGGGAGGCCATTGCAAACTCAGGAAGGACTTAAACAAAGCATGTTGACTCTCAGGGTGTGCCTGGTTCCTGCGAGCCCTAGCGGGAGTCCATCCCCAACCCCCCACCGTCTTCATCCCCAGCACCTCCTACCACCAGCTGCTTTCCCCTCATGATATGCTCACTTCACTCCAGGCAAAAAGAAGAGGTTCAGAAAGACAGAGCCATACATGGGAGACTAGCCAAGGCCTGCCCCCTGGAGGCCTCCTGGGAAGATGACATCTCTGGTAGAATAGGGGTTGACTTCTCTCAGAGGCCTTTCCTCTGTGCTTGCTTCTAGGGAGAAGGTCAGGCTGGAGGGGAATCTGAGAAGCAAATGCAACAAGACAATGGAGCATCGGGTGAGTAGACACAGAAGAAGAAGGGGGCCTCGAAGGAGCTGGATCAGGGGACAGGACAATGAAGGGCTAGGAGAGAGCACAGCAGGGGTGCAGGGGACGTCATCTAGGCCTGAGTCAGGCAGACCTGGTCCTTGCACTAGTTCTCCAACTGAGAGGCCTTGAGGCAACTGCTCATCCTCGTACACCTCATCTGTAAAATGAGGCTTGTTGGTCGGATTGTGTCTGAATGTGCCACAGTGTAGGGAGACCTCACTGGCTTCCTGAGTCCTGTCTGGACACCTCAAAGGCCTATGTGAGGAGGAACTGCCCCATGTACCTGAGAAATGCCACATCAATGTGGGGGGCCATAGGGAGACTGTCCCACAGCAGCCTTACAGAGTCGTTTTTCCAGCCCCGCTTGTCTGCTGCGAGCAGAGCTCTGGGGCCTTATTGATAAGAAGCTGTGCTGAGGGGAGCTCTGGTGGCCTAGTGGCAAGAAGCTGCAACTACAATCCCAGAGGTGCACGGTTCGAATCCACCAGATGCTCTGCCGGGGAAGGAGGGGCAATCTCCTCCTGTACCAGTCAGATCTGATTTGACGGTACACGCACACAAAACTTAATAAAATAAAAAAAAAAAAAAAAGAAGCTGTGCTGCGTAATAAAGTGAACTGGGGGAAGGCGGTTTAGAGAGGAGAACGGGCAATGATGAATGAATGAAAATCTAACGTTTCTGTGAACTTCTGTTAAACCACAATTTTTAAAAATAAAGTGTGTGGAGGGAAGCTATGCTGCCATCCTGAAGGCATGCAGTTCAAATCCACCAGCTACACCGTGGCAGAAAGATGGATAATCTCCTCCCGTGTGACTAAATGCCTCTGAACACCACTGGAGGGTCAGCTATGAGTACACAACAAACAAACAAAACCACCCAAAAAAAACCCGTCTGCTCCTACAGGGTCCGTACAGATCGCTGTCTACGTGTCCCTGGACTTTGTGAACAAGGCCTGGCCACCAGAACTCTCTAGCACCCTGGCTAAGCCCTCTGCTTTGTCTTCCTCATCCTCAAGAGCGCTCTCAGGCCTCAGCCTCACCACAGGTAGCAAAGAAATCCTACAGCCTGCTGCTTCTGGGTGCCACCACCTGCTCAGAGGAGGGCTCTGTTCTAGAGTCCCCTCGCTCTTTCTCCTAGCCCAGCTTCTCCCAACCTCCCCTACCAGACACCCAGTCAGACTCTTCCCTTCCTGCTCCAGGTCTCTGCTTCTAAGATTTGACAGAGAGAAAAGGGGGTAAACATTTGTCAGCCAAGACTTCCCACCCTGCCCCTTTGATGCCTTTACCTGAGCTGGGCTGTGCTGAGCCCGGGTGGGAGAGGCAGTCCCTGATGGCCAGGCTTGTCCAAGTGTTACAGGCTTACAACATTGGGGTTATTCCAGATGCCCAGCCTCAGAACCTCGTGGACGTCAGGCAGTTTGTTCTTCCTACCTGCCAGACCTCTGACAATCTACCCATTTCTTATTCAACTTTTTTTTTTATCATAGAGTGTGATGCCAAGCAAGATGGGCATTTCCACTGTGGTTGTCTCCCTGGGTACCAGTGGAACGCCAACATCTGCTCCCATCACTCTCTCTGCCCACACTCCTACAAAGGGCCGCCCTGTGCGTGTCTCATCTTCAACCACCCTGAGCCTGTCTACTGTCAGCTGCTGCCACCTGGTGAGGAGGGCTGGGAACTTGAGGACCAAAAACCCCACATGAACGGAAACCCATGGGCTTTTCCCCCCACCGCTGAATCCCCTATTTCTTTCAACTGTTTCAAGCCCAGCTGCTCCTCTGTGTAGGAAAATACTCAGGCCTTCATAGATGATCACAGATCCTGAGCTTAAGACCCAAGAAGCTTCAAAGACATCTGGACCAGGGGAGGAAGTGCTAGAGTGACCAGTGACCAGGGAGTGCAGAAAGAGGCCCCAGCAGTCCCAAACCACCTGAAGAAGGGGGAGTCATAGCCAATGGGATTATTCTATGGTTCCCAGTGACAAGGCAGTGTCACAGCACCTACCCTCACATGACAGTGTTCAGGAACACTAGAATACAGGGTCGGGAGGAGTGAGAAGGAGAGGGTTTCAGAAGGAAGAGAGGGCAAGCCCAGCCACCTCCTGTCTCTCCGCAGTCCCTGGGAAGCTGAGCCTGGACTCCACGCTGCCCACGCCTGCCAGCACGCTGCAACTGACTCTGCGTACACACCAAGCTGCCACAGGTCTGCACTGGTCCCTGCAGGCCATAGGGAGTCCCGTCCCCATCAACCTGTGGCCAGGGACACAGGTGTCCCTGGATGCTTCGAGCCAGGGCCAGGCGGCCCTCAGCATCTCCAACCTCTCCCAGGACTGGGCAGGTAACCAGGCAGTCCTTCTTGACTCTTCCTCTCCTCATTCCCATCTTCTTTTTCTTCTTTCTTGAATTCCCTTTAGCCGTCCCTGTTCACTCTTCTCTCTTCTCTCTCCTTCCTTTCCCATTTCCTCTTTCCATTTATTCACTCTAGAGGTCTATGAGGCCACTGTCAAGGTGGGGAATGATGATGTGGAGGAGGTTGGGAAGACCATCTCAGTGCCAGCTCCATTTTCTTTTCCTTCAAGACTCTACAAAGGCAGAGGCAGTGCAGGGCAGGCATCTGAGGTAGGGAGAGCAGTCCACCTTGGATGTCACAGCTGCAGTCCAATCACTATGAGCTGGGAGCCTCATCGCAAAGCTCTTTTCCCTCCTGGAAATTTTCCAGGGCACATGATGCTCTCTTTAAGGGCCATCCTCAACCTTTCTGGTTGGGGTTAAACATTGGATAGAGAAGCAGAGGAGGAAGGAGAGGCCGAGCCTTGGGAAGCTGCATGGGGTTTGGTGGCCTGGGGTGGCCCGGGAGCTGCAGGTGAGTGATGTGTGTCTGCAGGCGAGTACACGTGCCACTTCGAGGCCCAGGGATTCTGGTGGGAGCTGCACCAGGAGGTGAGGGTGCCCTTGCAGGAGGCAGACGTGGCACTGCTTCCAGACAAGCTCTCTGTCTCCTGTGCTGCTTCGTCTGGCTTCCAGCTGAGCTGCTGCTTCCCTGGGACACACCCACCCTACAAGGCTTCCTGGAGCCCTGATGAGGGCAGCACAGGTATGCAAAGAGGCTCAGGTGTTCAGGGCTCAGGGTGGGAGACAGGAGGATGTGAGTCTCCTCAGGCAGCTGGTGTTCAGCTCTCCAGGAGCATTGCCTGTATTTCAGCCTTGGAGCTCTGCATCCACATCCAATACTTTTTTTTTAAGCCCCATCAGAGCAACTCTAATTCTATTGCTCTCATTTTGTTGTTATTATGTACAGTCGAGTAGCCTGCAACTCATAGCAACCCTGTGTACAACAGCTCTGAAGACTGCCTGTGCTGAGCCAGTCTCGCTGACTCGGACACACCTACCCCTGTTGTCCCTGTTACTTTATCAACCCATCCATCTCATCCAGGATCTTCCTCTCCTGCGCTGTTCCTCACCTTTCCAAGCATGATGTCCTTCTCCAAGGACCACATGCCAAAAGTGTAGATAACAGTTTTCAAAATGCTTTCACCCCCACCAACTGTTCACCCATTGAACTCTTACATTCAACTCTATGAAATAAGTTTGAGGATAATCTCATTGGACAGATGAGGAAACTGGCTTCACGTCCCAGAGAGCTTAGCCAGAGACACCCAGGATTCAAATCAGATCCTCTTGATCCACATTCGTGTTCTGTGCACAGGAATTCAATGCCCCAGGCCCCTCTGCGCCTCACCACATTCTATCCCCTCTTGAAATGCTGGGAGGACTGAACACAGGTGTCTGGGGGCTGCTAGCCCACCTGCTTCAGGTCCAGTGACAGCTCCCCTTTCTGATCACACCCTCAGTCTCCTTACTCAACAAGCTGGGCTCCCAGTGCCTGGTGCTGACAGTTCCCAGCTGCCCCCCGGCTGACACCGAGTATACGTGTGAACTACAGAGCCCAGAACTGGACACCGTCAGGGTCTCCATCTCTGTCACCCTCATCCAAGGTGCGTGGGACCCTGGGATGCAGCTGGCCACCCTCTTCCCTGGCAGGGGCGGCAGGAAGGCCCTGATTGCCTTGGGATTGTGGGCTTCTTCCTTGGGGTTTCTGTGCTCTGGGCAACAGGAGCGGGCTCCCTGTAGGGAATGCTGCTCAAGGAACAGCTTAGGCTACCCTGTGATTGCTGAGCACCCTCTGACCATCACTCTTCAGGTGGAGACAACTTCTGCCCTGAGAACTCCTTGGATATCAGGTGGAATGTCACCAAGGCTGGCTTCGTGGCCCAGGCCCCATGTCCCGTGGACAGAATCGGGATGATAACGAGGTCCTGTGGGCCTGACGGGGCCTGGGGACCCGTTAACAACACCTGCACAGATGCCAGGCTCCTGGACTTGCTGCGCCGAGCCAGGGTAAGATTCTGGCACTGGCACTGTTACCCACATGCTGCCCTTCTTGGCCACCCCCTCCTCACTTTGGACCTAAAAAGGGTTTTCACCTACCTTTTCCCGTGTCCCCACCTGAAGGCCCAGCTGCTCTGAACCGATATCCTGGCAGAGCCAGAGAGTGGGGAAAGGGATGTTTGCTTTACAATGGCCAACACTCCTTCCAGCCTCGTGCCTCAGTCCCATCACCTTTCCTTCCCACTAAGATTGGTGTCTGAAGGATACCAAGGAGCTCTGGAGACTTAGTGGTAAGGAATTGCGCTGCCAACACAAAGACACATGGTTCGAGGCCACCAGCTGCTCCGCGGGAGAAGGATGGGCAATCTCTTCCCATGGAATTAACTGCCTCTGAAACCCTCCTGTAGGTTAGCTATGGGTCAGTTCTGACTGTATGGTCCACAACAACAACTAACACAAGAATGGTATCAAGGAGCGCTGGTGGTGGTGGTACGTGCCTAGGGGCTTGCACTGCTAGCCCAAAGGCTACTCCTCGCTGGTGTTCTAATTTGCCTGTAGCCGGGTGGGAGAGGTGGTCTCTCTCCCTCTGCAGCTTGGAAACTGAGTGGAGGGGCAACAGTGAGTTTGAGAAGATTGGAATCAGTCCCTTCCATGTGGCTCACTGACTGGCTGTCCCCCTTTCTGGGGACAGGGGGTGGAGGAAGTGACCACCCTCCTCAAGGGACTGCTCCCACTGTCCCACCACCCTGCTGTCTGTGTGTTCAGCTGCTGCAGGCCGGCCAGCACCTGCCTGCTGAGGAGGTGCCCCAGCTCCTGGAAGAGTTTCCAGAGCAGGTGACGAGGGTGAGCTCACCGTCCGACCTGCTGACACTGCTGGACACAATGACCGTCCTGGCCAATGTGGTAGATGAGGCCAACATAGAGCTTGGCCAGAGTCCTCTGAAGGTGAGATCTTCAAACCGTAGTGGGGACCAACGGCAGTGGGGGACAGAGGAGCTTCACCTGTGGATGCTTCTGTCCCTTTGACCTCCCCACAAGCTGTTCCTAGAGTCTACATGTGTACTCCCTTTCTCCTTTTGGGCCCCTGAAGGCTGGTTCTGGGTACCCATGAGGATTTGGGGACTACAGATAGGAGTAAAGAGGCATCATACACATGCAGACATGCTGATATGACATGATGTCCCCACACATTTGGACTTGCCTCAATCAGCTCTTTGCGTGAGCATCCCCAACACACTGCGTGATGAGATCGCACCTCTTCATGCCTGGGAAGATGCATCTCATGTGGGATCCCAGCTTTGCTTGGGGCCCTTCACTTCTGAACACCTTGCCTCTTCCACAGCTAGCACCACTGCTAGATTTACAGACCAGTAGGGCCCCTCTTAAAATCAGGGTGGTCCCCAGGACTAGAGGACTTTCAGAAGACCATGTGCTTGGCGATGTCCCCAGGTGGCTGGCTCAGCAGGTGCCATTCTTTTGCAAGTCTCCCTGCCAGGTCTCTAATGCCCCTCTCCTGGTGTTGGGTGTTGGACTGTGCTAGGAAAGGCAGCCTTCTGGGTCTGAAGCTCCCCACACCCCAGCTGAGCTGTCGATTCCTCTCTGTTGGGCGATGCAGGCTCTTCTCAACACCACAGACAGGATCCTAGACCTGGGAAACAGCTCCCTGTGGGCCCCAGCGCAAGCCCAGCTGCCTCTGGCAAGCTCCCATCTCCTGTTGGCTGTGGAGACGCTGGCAAGCCGACTGCGCCCGCAAGACCACCCCTTCTCCTGCACTTTGCCCAGCGTACAGCTGCAGACCCAGCTCCTTGGAGACACGTTAGCTACCAACTACAATGCCTCCTTCTCCACACAGCCCCCACTGTGGGTCCAGGTTCCCAGACACTCGCTGGTCCCGCTGGTCCACAGCAAAGCCACGGTTAGCATCACCAGCTTGCTGCTGAAGAAACTGGACCACCTTTTGCCTTCAAACTATGCACAGGGTCTGGGGGACTCCCTCCGTGTCACTCCCGGCCTGGTTCTCTCTGTCTCCATCATGGCTGGTGGCCAAGCCTTCAAAAAGGGGGAGGTCATTATGGACTTTGGAAACAGAGATGGCACCCCTCACTGTGTTTTCTGGGACCATGGTCTCTTCCATGGTGAGGGAGGCTGGTCAGATGAAGGATGCCAGGCACAGGCAGCCAAGGCCGACTCCACCACCCAGTGTGTCTGTCAGCATCTCACTGCCTTCTCCATTCTCATGTCTCGACACACTGTCCCAAAGAGCCCTGTCCTGGTCCTGCTGACCCAGCTGGGCCTGGGGGCTTCCATCGCGGCGCTGCTCGTGTGCCTGGCGGTGTACAGGCTGGTGTGGAGAGTCGTGGTGCGGAACAAAGTTGCCTACTTCCGACACGCAGCGCTGCTCAACGTGGTCCTCTGCCTGCTGGCTGCAGACACCTGCTTTCTGGGATCCCCGCTGCTCCCCCAAGGCCCCCACAGCCCCCTCTGCCTGGCCACGGCTTTCCTCTGCCATTTCCTCTACCTGGCCACCTTCTTCTGGATGTTGGCCCAGGCCCTGATGTTGGCCCACCAGCTGCTCTTTGTCTTCCATCAGCTGTCCAAACACTGGGTGCTCCCCCTGATGGTGGCCCTCGGTTATCTGTGCCCACTGGGGTTTGCAGGCTGCACCCTGGGCCTCTACCTCCCCCAGGGGCAATACCTGGGGGAGGGGAACTGCTGGCTAGATGGGAAGAGGGGGGCGCTATACATGTTCGCGGGGCCAGTGCTGGTCATCGTGGGGGTGAATGGGTTGGTCGTCGCCATGGCAGTGCTGAAGTTGCTGAGGCCGTCACTGTCTGAGGGGCCTCAGGTGGAGAAGCGCCAGGCCCTCGTGGGGGTGATCAAAGCCCTGCTCGTTCTCACCCCCATCTACGGCCTCACCTGGGGGTTCGGCCTGGCCACGCTGATAGACGAAGTCTCTGAAGTCTCTCACTACATCTTCATCGTCCTCAACACCTCCCAGGTGGGTGACGGGGTGGCGGCTGCGGGCTGGACGAAGTTCATCCATGGTGTGTCGCACTGCTAACCAGGCGGCCTGGGAACTCTGGGGTCTTGAATCTGCCAGCAGTGCAGAGTGGGAAAGGTGAGCAGTCCTTTCCCACTGCAATATGAACAGCCTCGGGCCCGGTGGAGGCTTGCAGTGAGTCAGAACTGACATGACCGCAGGCAGCTGTGGTCTGGGTTTGGGGTGTTAGCTGGTTTTTAAGTCACTGTTAATCCCTTTGTGGTGGCTTCATGGGGGCGCAGAAGAAACACTGGTGGTCGGTGAAGCAATTCCAGCTTGTGGTGCCCCCCGGGTGCACAGTAGACCCCCACCCCAGAGGATCAGCGAGGCCATGGCCTTCTCAGCACACTGCCAGCCCTTTCTCTCAAGGTGCCTCTGGGCAGGTTCAAACTGCCAGCCTTTGGGCTCTTAGTCAAATGATTTGCCCGAGGACTAGAGAATATGTTTCTTGTGGGCCTGAGAATTTTATAAGGCATAGGTGGCCTAGTGGCAAGAAGCTGTGCTGCAATCGCCAAAGGCATGCGTTTCAAATCCACCAGCTGCTCCGTAGGAGAAGATAGGGCAACCTCCTCCCCTGCGATTACCTGCCCCTGAAAACCCACCAGAGGGTCAGCTATGGGTCAGTTCCAACTTGACGGTACACAACAACAACAAGTTTAGGTCAGACTTCCTCCACTGCCCAGCTGGGAACACTTTGGACAAACGGCATAACCTCTCTGAGCTTTGCTTTCATGTCTGGATTATAGGGATGGCGACAGATACCTGCCCTACTTACACCCCAGCCTGAGGGTGTAAGGCCCCACCCCACCCCGCCCTGGAATTAGGGAGGCGCCAGGGTCAGGGTAGCTGGGAGGAGGGAAGGCAGAGGACAAGGTTGGCTCCAGGCTCTGCTTTGACCTTATTGTCCTCAGCATTCTCTTCCTCAGCTCAATCACCCCCACTTCCCTGTCTCCCCTGCCGCCCTCCCTCACTGCTCTTGCTCAGGGGACACTAGCGCCCTTCAGTGGTAACAGTGACTTCCCTCAAAACCCCCTGGAGGCCGGAACCACCCTCCCCCTCCGTTTGCCTATCTCCTTCCTCTATTTGGGACGTACTTTGGCGTTTTTCTTTCTTCTTTTATTGTTTACCCCTTGGGAACTACTTTGAGCGAAAGATATCCCCATGTGTCTTGATCCCTCCTTTTCCCTTTACATGCCAAAGGCCGGATTACTTTTTAGGCGGGAAACTAAAGAGGGTCACCAGAAGGCTGAAGCCAGGAGTTGATTCTGAGTGTGTTCACTGCTGCTTCGGGGAGCTCACGTCTGCAGGGGAATTGGGTCTTCCGCACTGCCTTCCCTCTCTGTGAGGCGGCCTCCTCTCTACTCCAACTGAAAGGGCAAACGCACTCCTTCTGATCATGGCTGGCAACAGCTATTCACCTGAGATCTCCCTCCAGAGGCTGTGAGGCCGGGAGAGTAACACTAAGAGATGCCGTTTAATCCTGCTGCCATCCTTGTGAACTAGGCCCCGTTCTTATCCACACTGCACACGTGAAGAGGGGCGGAAAAACTGCTGCTCAACAGGGGAGTGGGTCAGACCCAGGCGTGACTGATATTGGCCCACCTCTTCATTTTTATTGTTAAGTACCATTGAGTTGGACCCTCCGGTGGGTTTTCAGGGGCAATATATCACACAGAAGGAGACTGCCCATCTTTCCCCCACATAGCAGCTGGTGGATCCGAACTCCATGCCTTTGGGTTGGCAGTGCAACACCTGAACTCTAAGCCACCAGAGCACCCGATGCTGTTCATTACAACTTCTCAAAGAGACTACGCAAGCTTTAGAGAGAAGCCCTTTGGAACCACAATGATAAAAAGACAGTAAGAAAAGCTTCAGATATGGTGTGCACCTAAAATTGATACATTGTCTTTTATGTGAATGGTTCCTCAATAAGAAGAAAAAAAGAAAAGAAAAGCAAACTTTAGATTACACACACGCACACAAACACACCCCACCAGAAATGGGTCCTGTACAGCACACAATGCTAATAGCCAGAAAGAGCGAGATGAGAGGCCTGAGGACAGAATTGTTGTTGTTGTTCTTATTGTTGTTAGGTTCCATCAAGTAGGACTCACAGCGACCCTGTGAAGAACAGATCAGACCCTGTGAAGAACAGATCAGAACCCTGTCCATCATACTCATCATCTCTGACGCACTTAAGCCCCAAAAGAGGAAGCCCTTCAATGAGCTGCATTGACACAGTGACTGCAGGAGGGAATCAGATGGCAGGAAAGGGAGTGAGGAAAGAGAGAGGGTGATTCCTTCTTCCTTGACCAGCTGTTCCCCATGTCCCTCTTCTTAGGGTGTCTTCATCTTACTGTTTGGCTGTCTCATGGACAAGAAGGTCAGTGTGCCCCTTGGCTGCCCGCTGACTCGCAGTGCTGAACTGACGCTGGCTGACATAACCGGGCGCTTGTCTCTCCCATAGGTACAGGAAGCTTTGCGCAAACGTTTCTGCCGCACCCTGCCCTCCAGCTCCACCATCTCCTTGGTGAGTCACTGAATTCAAATCCTCTCTTCTCTCCAAGAGCGAGAGAGAAGAAAGTGGTTTGCTGTCTTCCTCAGAGGAGGGCCCGCAGAGACAGAAGCCAAGAGAGCACAGAAGTGGGGGCATGGGAGGCTGGCTTTTCAGAAGGGGCAGTTTCCACATCCAACCACTCTAAGGGAAGGAGCAGCCGGTGACAGCACTCAGAGCTCACATCCCTGCTTCATCCTCACAGCCTTGTCACGCTCTTGTCTCTCTTTGCCAATTCCCCTCAGCCTCGAGTTAGCATCTGAAGGGCAAGGGCCAACCCTACACATGTGGGGGCTGCTGTAGATGGGAGCAAAGGTCCTGGGGTCCCTGTAGCCCAAGCAGCAGGGCGGAGGAGAATGAAAACAATGGCCGTGATCCCTTCAAACAAGAGTTGATTATAATAATCATTGTCCTGCAATTGGACCTTCATAGGCCACAAATGAAACCTCCATGTTGGAACAGAGCAAAGAAGAAGTAAAGATGTCAGGTGAGAGCAAAACGTTGAGAGTAGGGCGGGCTGCGTGGAGTGGGGAGACGTGGAGAGCAGGGCAGGCTGCGTGGAGGGGGGAGACGTGGAGAGCAGGGTGGACTGTGTGGAGTGAGGACGGGTGTGGTACATGGGTTCCGGGGAAAGCTGGCTCCCCAGCGCCTGGCCCAGCACCCAGGTCGGGAGGGCGCTTCTGGGGGTAGCGTTCGGTGTCAACTACAACTTATAGTGTGACCTTACGAGTGGCAGAGCTGAGCCTGCCCTGTCCTGCACCATCCTGTCTCCCATATGCTCGAGACCACTGTTACGTTCCCTGTGTCGACCCATCATGCTGAAGCTCTTCTCTCTCAGACCCTCCATTCTACCCTCATGATGTCCTTTTCCTGGTAACGTGCCCACAGTAAATGATCTGAGAAACACACTGGTTGTACTTGTTCCAAGATGGGTTTGCCTTTTTTGACAGTCCATGGGATATTCAGGACCCTTCTCCAACACCACAACTCAAAGGCATTGATTTTTCTTTGCTCATTCTTTATTCATCCAACTTTTCAGGTGCTCGTTGTTGTTGCTATGTGCTGTTGAGTCGCATACGACTCCTGGAACCTATGAACAATAATTTGAACCCTGTCCCATTCCGCACCATCTTCATCATCTTGTCATATGTGAGCCCACTGTTGTAGTCACTGGGTCAATCCATCTCTTCGAGGGTCTTCTTCTCTTTTGTTGACCTTCTACTTTTCCTAGTATGATGTCCCTTTCCAAGGAATACCCCTTCTAGCAGCATGTCCAAAGTATCCCCATGCTTACCTCTAAGTCAAAGAGTAGCACTTTGACTATACATTCTCCAAGACGTATCTATTTGTTCTTTTGGCAGTCAATGGGATATTCAGTATTCTTCTCCAAGACCACAGCTCAAACACATCAATTTTTCTGTCATCCTTATTTATTGTCTTGTTCTCAGATACAAAGCAAGTCTGAATCATGAGTCACTGACAGCAGACATTCCCAATGCAGTATGTGTTGATTTCTTGACTGCTGGTGCCCAGAGTGTTGACTGTGGATCCAAGTAAGGTGAAATAATTGACAGTTTCATTATCGGTCCAGCGGTGATGATTTTTTGTCTTCTCAGTGTAGAAATGTAATCCGTATTGAAGGCTTAGATCTTCTGAAGCAAGCACTTAAGTCTTCCTCACTTTCAGCAAGCAAAGTTGTGTCATCTGCATAATGTAAGTTGTTGAGTCTTCCTCCTATGCTGATGCCATGTTTTTCTTCATAGAGTCCAGCTTCTTGAATGATCTGTGCAGCACACAGATTGAATAGGTATGGAAAAAGGATAAAACTCTGACACACACCTTTCTACATTTTAAACCATAGTTTATTTCCTTTGCTCTGCTGGACAATAGCTTCTCGGTTTAGTTATAAGTTTTCATACAAGCATGATTAAATATTCTGGAATTCCCATTCTTCTCAATGTTAACTATAGTTTGTTATGATCCACACAGTCAAACATCTTTGCATAGTCAATAAAATGCAAATAGGCATCCCTCTGGTACTCTCAGGTTTTTTGCCAAGATCCTTCTGTCATCTCTGGTGCCACGGCCTCTTTCTAATCCAGCTTGGATTTCTGGCAGTCCTCTTTGAATGTACTGTTCTAGCTATATTTGGGTGATTTTCAGCAATATTTTGCTTGCATATGAACTTAATAATATTATTTCATAATTTCCACATTTTGTTGGCTCATCTTTCTTGGGAATGGGAATGGGAATATATCAACCTCTTCCGGTCAGTTGGCCAGGTAACTGTTTGCTAGACATATTAGCACAGAATGGTGAGCACATCCAGGGCTGCTACATCTGTTAGTTGAAATGTGTCAATTGGTATTCTACCAATCCTGCGAACTCATTTTTTTGCCAATTCAATACAGCTTGAATTTCTTCTTTCGTTACCATTGGCTCTTCTTGATCATATGCTACTTCCTGAAATAATGTCTAACATTCTTTTTTTGCTACAATGATTCTGTGTATTCCCTTCATCTTCTTTTAATATTTCCTAGATCATTCAAGATTTTGCCCATAGCATCTCTCAATATTGCAACTCAAGGCTTGAGTTTGCTTTTCAGTTCTCCCATCTTGAGAAATGCTGAATGAGGTCTTCCCTTTCAATGCTCTAACTCCAGCTCTTTGCACATTCCATTATAATACTTTGATTTCTCTTCTCAAGCTACCTGTTGAAATCTCTGTTCAGCTCTTTAACTTCTGTGTCTCTTGCCTTTGCTTTGGCTTCTCAACACTCTGGTGCAATTTTTAGAGTCTTTTGTCATATCCATTTTGGTCTTTTCTTTCTCTTCTGTGCAATGATCTTTTGCTATCTTTGTGAATGATATCCTTGATGTCATCTCAAAACTCATCTGGTCTTCGGTCATTAGTGTTCAATGTCTTAGCCTATTCTTGAGATGATTTTTTAAATTCAGATGGTATAGACCACAGATAATATTTTTGTTCTTATAAACTTGCTTTAATCTTCATCAGCTTCAATTTGAACTTGCACATGAGTAATTGATGATCTGTTCCACAATCAGCATCTGGTCTGGCTTTGACTGCTACTATTAAGCATCTCCAGCAATTCTTTCCAATTCTAGTCAATTTTATTTCTGTAAAGTCTGTCAGGTGAGGTCCCTGGATATCATCTCTATCGGTGTGGTACTTGTGATGAATAAATCATTGCATGTGTAAACTTCAATCACTCATTCTCCTGCTTAATTTCTGCCACCAAGTCCATATTTTCTAACTATCATTACTCCTTCATTGTTTACGACTTTTGCATGACAGTCACTAATTACTATGAATGCACCTTGATTGCATGCTTGGTCTATTTGGGACTGCAAAAGTTGACATTTCTAAGTGGGCAAGGAAAGTGGAGGCCTTCCTTTCCCCATAGATTACTTGAAGCATTTCCTGCTGCTTCCCAAGAGAACTGGAGGGAGTTTCAGCATCACCAATTCTTGATTCAGTTCACTGAGAAATTCTTTTCACACCATGAAATTCTCAACTGTCCTGGAAAACCTTAGGGAGTTCTTGACTTAAAGGAATTGTTGTCAGGGAGCTTGGTGTCTAGAGGAGATGGCCTGCAGGGGTGGGGCAAGGTCTCATTGGAAAACTCTTTCTCAGGGAAGGCAGAAACTTGAACATGACCCACAGAGAGCCGATGTCCCTGCAAGGGAGCTGACGGGTGGTTGATGCCACCAAGAGGGACCCTGGCCCACCCCTCTGAGCTCCTCCCTTATCCCTGGCTGGACCCAGAGCTCAGCCCCTGGGAAAGGCAAACACATATTTTCATTAATCACATTCATTTCTCCTGCAACTTACCTGTCTCCATCCCTAAACTGTTCAAGAATCATGTGGGGAAACTGGCAAAAATTACCTAGTGAATAAGTCTGACTCAGCTTTAAAAATATTCAAGATTCATGTCAGGGTGAAGTGCTGGGCTGGTGCTCTGTTACAAGGGAAAGGAAAATGTTTTCTTGTGAACTAGAGTTTGGCAAGACAGGACACATCGTAGCCCCTAATGCAGGATACAATAATGCTTCAAATTTGAGCACAGAAGAACGTTTTTATCAGATGAAGAGTTGTGTGTTTGCAGCCACTAGAACAACACAAGACAAAAGTTACAAGGAGTTAGATTTTCTTAAACATCAGTAAGTCTGTTTGTTAACATCCTAGGGTCGATTGAATAAGATATTATGGTAAGAACATTGAGCTCATTTGCTTATGAGCTTCTTCCTCTTAAAGTACCAATTATGCTTCCATCTTAGTTGCAGATTTACAAGGTGGTAGGAGAAATGGAGCAAAGCTCTTTTTTTAAAAAAAATGTATTATTCATTTCAATGAAAATATACGGAGACTTTGGGTTTCCATTCATTCATTGTTGCACTTTTCTCACCTCCCAATCCTCCCCCCTAGTACACTACCCTCTTGGAAAAGTAAAAGGAAAATTCTTCCATTGTTTTACAAACCCTCCCCCAGGTCCTCTCCACTATGCAGCCTTCGCTCTGGACTCCTGTCATGACAAAAATACCTAATCA